ATGATGGTCTGTAGACACATTCCTAAGGAATCTACACAAAGCTACAAAACTGAATTTAGCAAAGTTCCACAGGGGGAGCTGGTATATGAGTGTATTTCTCATTTTTATTAATCGTGAATTAAGATGATAAAAAACATTAAAAATTACAGATTATTTCAAGATGAATAAAACATTGTTGTGAGAAATTAAACACTACCTAAACACAGAAAGCTGTTTATGTACACTGTATTCATTGCTCAAAAAACTCTTCATGAGAAACGATGTACAAATGCATTTTACACAATTGATGTGTGTATGGATTGGGATAACAGTTGTTGTATGAGCCCCTAAGAAAATGTTAAAAAAAAACAACTCTTCAGTATTATTCACATGCCACACCTACCAAAATTGATGTATTGATTCAAGGATGACAATTCTCGTGTGGGCTTTGTTGTAGAAATGGTCAAGCTAAACCTAAAAGTCATGCAGAAACTCAAAGGGCCTAGATTAGCTCAAACCACCTTGAGAAACATTTGTTTTCAATAGCTCCTACATGACTGCAGTGATGAGACAGTGCCGAACTGGTAAGAGGACAGGCATACTGGCGTGAAAACGTAGATTCTACAAATGGGGCCAACACGTGTGGACATTTCCTTTTGACATAGAGACCAAGGCAACTTCATTGGGAAAGGGTCATCTTTTCAATGGATGGAGCTGGAGCAGCTGGATTTGCATGCTGGTATGGTTTTTTTGTTTGTTTTGTTTTTAATCATTGGGGGCTCATACAACTCTTATCACAGTACATCCATCCATTGTGTCAAGCACATTTGTACATTTGTTGCTATTATTATCCTCCCAACATTTGCTCTCTACTTGAGCCGTCAGTATCAGCTCTTCATTTTTCCCCTCCCTCCCCGCCCCTTCAGAGCCCTTGATAATTTACAAACTATTATTTTGTCAGGTCTCCTTTCACCCACTTTTCTGTTGTCTGTCCCCCAGGGAGGGGGTTATATGTAGATCCTTGTGATCAGTTACCTCTTTCTACCCCACCTTCCCTCCACCCTCCCTGTATCGCCACTCTCACCACTGGTCCTGAGGGGTTCACATATCCTGGATTCCCTGTGTTTCCAGCTCTTAACTGTACCAGTGTACATCCTCCGGTCTAGCTGGATTTGTAAGGTAGAATTGGGATCATGATAGTGGGGTGTGTGTGTGTGGAAGCATTAAAGAACTAGAGGAAAGCTGTATGTTTCATAGTTGCTACACCTCACCCTGACTGCTGATGTTGTTTAATGTTGTGATGATTTTCATTCTTTGTGATCCTTTGGTCATTAGTGATTTGTAAATAGAAGCCAGTTAACTGTACTTAAGGTAGGTCTGTGTCAGGGGTCAATGTGTTTTATAAGCAAGACAGTGTGACCTGTTAGAACGGGAATAAAAGGAAAGCGGACCCAGAGCTTGGGTTTTAATTAACGGGTTTATTAGAGTTAACGACCTGCCCTGGTGTTTAGAATGGGATGAGAATAAAGGGGGCGGGGTGAGGGGAGATTGAAAGACAGAGTAAAGAGAGAATAGCCAAAAGTAAGAAAGGGAGGGCTAGAGAGAGAGGGATGGATGTGTGGCCACACAAGAAAATGAAGAAAGAGCGTGAGCAAACAAAGGGAATCCCATATTAATAAACTTTGGGGACAGAAATAAATAATGCCTAAAAGGAGCCTGCGTGCCCTCCCCCACCCCACCCCTCAATTGGCTGCTGTGGCACCAGCAGACTGGTGAAGAGGGGAGAAAGGTTTCCGTAAGACTTCTTGAGAAGGCGAGGTATCACCTTACACTAGATGGGGATGGAGAAGGGGTTAGAGATGCTGACTTATGGCTGAGAACCGTAGTGTTACTGCTTTTATGACCTTTTGATCACTTTCAAGGCAGTTGCTACAACTTTTTCCCCCTGTGTGTTTCATCAAGAGTTGGTTGAAAAGCCAGATTCCTTCTCCCGGACTGTAGCTGATGCCTGTGGAGCCCTTTGCCAGCCGACAGTGAAGATGAAAGCTGAATTGAACCTTAAAGGTGTTTGTGATATGTAGGAGATGAAAGCACTTTGTGGGACCTAATGTCGGGGGTTTAAATGGAGAGAAAATGTTTTGAGAAACGATGTACAAATGTGCTTTAAACAATTGATGTGTGTATGGATTGGGATAACAGTTGTGTGAGCCCCTAATAAAATGTTAAAAAAGAAAAAAAAAAAAAAGAAAGCACTTTGTGATGCTTCTAGCTGATTGCTGCTGCGAGTCCTACTTCACCAGTGGAGAAAGTGAAGCTCAAAGAGGCTGAAGGGCCCTGTCATTGAGCTTGCTTCTGGAAGCCCAGTGGGCCTGTGGACCTCCTCTAGAGTAGTCCTGCAATGCTTGTCTGCACATTCAGGTTGATGGGGATGCCGTTGACAAGTGTTTTAAACTTTTCCCTCAGATCTTGCACAGACAGTAAGGTGAGGAGCTGTAATTTAAATTTCTCATGACCATTATAACAGATATAAATACAAAGCATATTTGACATTTCGGTGTGAAACCTGTGATCATGACCTCTAAACCAATATGTCAATATTCCGATTTCCCCTAGAGTCTTCCTTGTGCTGCCCCCACTGTCAACATAGCCCTGTCCAGAGTACCTCTGTTCTGACTGTTGATCCTATATGAAGGCATCAACTGCCCCACATCATGTCGGATTTGGCGTGCATATGAAACAACTGAAGATATCCTAGCCTGATTAGGGAACCTTTAGTCACCAAAGTGACACCTTTGCTTTTAACTCGAAGTTTTTGCCTCAGATTTGCCTGCTGTAATAATCGTTTGGTTTCTTGACCGTTACTTCTGTGGGCATTGATCAAAGTAAAATGAAATTGAATTTCTTTTCCATTTATCTTGATGGTGCTTATTGGTCTGGTTGTAAGATGCAGTTCATACTGAAAGTTGAAACTTGTTTACCTTCATTAGTCAATGTTTTAAGTTGTCTCTACTTTTCTACATATCTCTGGTTGTGAATGAATCTTCCTCCAATCTTGATCCTGTTTCTCTGTCATTTGCTCAATATATAGACTGACCAAGTACAGTGAGAGGACACAGTATGCCCTTGTTTAAGTTTGATTCATTCATGTACAGATTCTGTATGAGTACAGTTAACTGCTCTGGAATTCTTACTCTTCGCAATGCTGTATATAATTTGTTGTGGTTCTCACAGTCAAATGCCTTTGTGTAATTGATAAGCCATGTTTTTTCCAATCGTTTTTTATATTCATACGAAGTTGACAGTAAAATTGCTAAAGAACTTGTTCATTACAATAATGGTGCTGGTGAAGAACGAACAAATCTGCCTTGAAGGAAGTACATAACCAGATGCCCCTTAGAAGCAGGGCGCGGCAGTTCTTCATCTTGCTCACTTTGAATACATCATTAGGTGAGGACTTCCTGTTTCTGTAAGTAGAGGTGAAAGTCAGATGGACTGACACAAGAGCCACCACAGTGGGCTCATACAACCATGCTTATGAGACTGGCACACTAATGGTGTTAATGGCTCAGATGCCCCAGGCAGGGCCTCCCAAGTGTCTACTTGCTGGTCACTCTCCCCATGTACACACAGAGACCGGTGCCAGCTTCACTCAGGGGGCCCTCGACACAGAGTGAGTGTGGTGATTGTACTCAATCGCATCCCTTCACTGCGTGTGACAAACGGAGATGCACATCAGGCACTTCCGCTGTGGGTCAAAAGAGGATGTGGCTCCTCAAATGTGTGCAGCTGTGCAAGTTCCGAGCCTGACAGAGCGTCTTTCATCAAACGGTGGTTGTTTAGAGTGGGAATCTGGCAGTCTTCTCAAAAATATATAAAGTGAGCCCTGTCACTTTAAAGAAATCAACGAGCATTTTTGTGTTACTAGAGATAGAATTTGAGGTTTCAAGAAAGAAGTGCAGCATAGGAAAATTTGTATCTGCCTCACTGGACATATATAAGAACTAATACTTCCTTGATGTGGTCAGGAATAATTTCCTCATCTTCACTTTTATGTACTGAAGCCTCTCCACATTTAGGAGGTTGTAATTGCCAAATGACCAGTTTATGATGCTACCAAATCATACTTCCATATCCACTACGAATCTGGCTGAGTGCAGCTGGATTCAAGACAAAGACAGCATGTCCATGCAGAGGAGCCAGCTGTCTTCTGTCCAGTCAGATGGTACAAAGCAATGATCCTTTAATCAGACAATGTGACAAGCAGCACAACCTACAAGTTGTAGATTCAAAGTGCTGACATATATTTGAAGTATTTCACACAAAAAATGTTGGTGGTAAACGGCTGATCCTCGCAGATTTGGGGGGTAGGTAACCTTTATTAGACTAAGAGAATACCCTTCTAGGCCTCCACCTGTCCCCTTCCCACGTCTGCATAAGGAATGCAGCTCAAGCCAAAGGCCCCTTTGAGCACCAACTGTCTGGGTGGTTCTGCAATGTCACCAGACTAAGGGAAGTAAGCAGAGGTGTGTTTGCCAACAATTTACCAGAAAAGGAAGGTGCAGACGAAGGTTGAGTGGTAATGCCTTCTCCTGTCTGAGATGGCAGGAACACACAGTAGGGCACAGCCCAGGGAGCCATCTGATTCCAGAGTGGGCCCCTCACCCCCGTCCAGGCACAGAGTTAGGAGAGCAGCGCCTCTGCCGCCAGTGGAACCGTCAGACCCCTCCCTCCGTCTGGGTGTCTGAGAGCCCTGCAGTACAGAGGGGCCACTTCCTGTGTGCCGACCACAAAAGGGCGACACCCACGTGCCTGGAGCCCCTGGGGTCCTCAGCCGGCTCTTCACTGGGGCTGGGGACAGGGTTGCTGTTCCCATGGGTTGGATGAGAGAGCCCAGGGCACTATCACAAGTGCTGCTCCAATCTTGCGGTCAGGAGGGGTGATTTTGCCAGAGAGGTTGTTTTTTTCTGATGCTGGGGAGGGGATTTGAGGATTATGTTTGAAGGTACACTTTTCTTTTCAAGGATAAAGATAAAGTTTCTCTAACCAAGACCCCGAAGCTGGAGCGCAGTGATGGTGGGAAAGAGGTGAGAGAGCGCAGCACCAAGCGCAAGCTGCCCTTTACTGTCAGCACCAATGGAGAGCAGAAGGACTCGGACACAGGTAGGTGGACCGGGAGGGGGTGCTGCTGGGGCCAGCCACATAATCCCAGGTCCTTTCCTGGTGCTGGGTATCAACAGAGGTCTCCTCGCATGTGGCGGGACGTGGGGGAGGAGGCGTGGAAACCATTCCAGTAGGCACTGTGTAAGGTTAGTTGATGTGTGACCTTCATTAAGCCCAGGTGGCACTGAGCAGAGAGCATATCCTTGGGCTGACCTGACCATAAGCACACCCATGACCAGGGGCTGGAGACCATCCAGGCTTCAGGGCAGGCTGTGGGCAGGGCCCAGACCCTACCCAAGTACTGTGTGCAGGTGGGCCACCTTAAGGGTGAGTAGGTGTAGTCACTTGCGGTTTGGGGGAGGGGAAGCCACCAAGTCCAGTGCTCTTGAGAAGAGAACATTGGGGGGGGGGGGG